TGAACACTGGTTATGTGTGTTGAGGCCCTGCTTCAAGGACGTGGTCAAGCATCGCTCATTTGTGGGAAGCAGAGAGTAATTTCTTTCCTCTGCACTTCCACATAGCCTTTATTTGTTTTGTTTGTTTGTTTTCCTCTCTTTTTTCCCTTTCCCCCTCCCTTTTCCCCTTTCCCTTTTTTTCCCCTTTAGTTAAATTGTTTAGTTCATAATAGTATTTCCTTTATTATTATTATTATTTCCCTTTAATTAAATTATCCTTATCTCAACCCATGAGTTGTTTTTTGCTTTATTTCTTCCCCTCCTCATCTAAGGAGGGGGAGTGAGAGAGTGGTTGTGGTGTTTAGCTGCCTAGCATGATAAAACCACCACAAGAGGAAACTACTGAAGACTCAACATGGTTTATAACAAAATAAGCCAAAATATTTTGTATTTTCCATTGTTTCTTTCAGTTGTATGTGCAATAGATATATATAGAATGTATATTCTACAAACATGCACATGTGCATATACACTCCAGTTCAATGCTTTTCAAGGCAGAAAACACATTCCGCTATGGAATGTTGAAAAAAATTACTCCCTCACAAAAACTGTCATAAATTATGTGAAATTAAAATGAGATAAAACCTATTAATTCTTTCCGCTTTTGGCAGGTTCCATTTTGGACAGTTGTGAGAAAGATATGCATTTCTTTCAACAGAAGTCCAGAGGCACTGGAAATATTCTTACTAAAGAAATGCCAAAAATTGGTAAGTATGGCTCATGGTACTCTTATGCAGAATTCTCTTGTCTCAGAAAACCACTTATTGCCAATGGATAGAAAAGATTTTGCCTTGGGATAAAAGCTTTGGAAAACATACTATCCTCAAAACATCTCTTTTGCATATCCTTTTCTATCCTATAATACACTTGGGTATTTCTCCATTGATTAAATTGTACCTACATCACTTGGGTATCTATATCATCATAAGGGTTACAAATATGTTACAGTAACACATTCCTTAGTGTCAAAATATCCCAGACTTGCAGACATTTTATCAAAATATACCTGGTTCCCAGTCTAAACACATTTCAATCCTCCAAATTATCAAACCCTAAAGTTTAATTGCCTTGGTATCTAATTAACAAAAATGAAATGCTTTCTTAATTGTGTAAGACAAATTATTCCTACTCTCACTTCCATTTTGTCTACCAGCAAGGCCTCTCAGGACCCCAATGCCTTTTGACTTCAATACAAAAACTGTCATGTGGTCAGCAAAATGAGTGGATGTGTGAAAAGCTGCATTTAACTGATGTCATTAAAGAAATAAATGTAGAAAGATCCCACAATCAGTTTTTTAGAAAATCATCAATGAAACAATAAAGGAATACATACAGAATATGTATATATGTAGAATGGCAATTTTTTGGGATAACTCCTGTTTTTCATACTAAAGCAGCATGTACTGAACTAAGTAGGATGAATTTTTGAGATAAAATGGGTAGCATCCACTACATTTTGCTATTTTTCTTTAAAGTAGTGGAAGCTTAGATTAAAAATAAACAAAACAAAAAACACAATTTGTAACCATTCTTACTGTAGTTTTAAATGATAGTCAATTCATCTTAACCTGGTACTTTGCTCCTTAATTTGAATTTTATATAATCTGTGCTGCAGAGAAATACAGCTATTTTATATATAAGGAACCATTCTCAATGACTGAACGTTAAGGCTGGATTGTTTATATCTGGTTTAGTGCTATCACCACATTCACAGCCATGAATCAGCAAATCTGAAAGCACTGTGTCAGTGCTTTCATTTTCATTTCATTTCATTTCCCTCCATTGCTCTTTCCTTGCTATCCTGTGTACTCTGTTCACAAATTGGGTTGTTTACAAAAACCTGCAAACAGACAAGGAATCTCATTTATGTTCAGACTATGAGAGAAAGATGAGAAGTTACCCATCCCATGCTCTGTTTTCTCCTCACATACTTAAAACTGCAAGTCCCGAGATGATGAATCTGCCTTTTACAAGCCAGTACTTTCTATTGAGTGCTGTGGATTTATCTGTGAACCCTAATGGGAAAAATGTTCTGAATCACAGCCATTTGGCGGTGCAATGATTGCAGCATTCAGCTGCATATTTCTGACTGGGGGGAGGGGGAGGGTGTCATAGGATCTGTAGGAAATAAGTCATAATAGGAAAGAAAGTAAACTGTTTTCCATAATAGAAGAAAACGTAATTCCAGGAGGAAAAAAAAAAAAAAAAAAAAAAAAAAGACAAAAAAAAAAAAGAAGCAAAAATGGTGACCAATCTACTCAGTAAAAAATCTACATGCTTATGATAAAATAGACATGTCAGAGCTTTTGTGTGTATTATGTACACAAACCTGTGTAAAAGAGAAGTAATTAATTCCTATATATGTGTGTGTGTGTGCGTGCATGTGTGTTTATTTTCACATCATGTTTGCAGGGGTACAGTGTGGAATTATTCTACCTGAGAGGAACTGAGGTGCATAGTAGTTAATAGCAAATATACCTGCTGATGTTGGTATTTGGAACACTTTATTTTTTCAGTATATTTAATATTATAAATCACATATCTGGGAATGCTAAGCATTTCTTCAAATTAGGTTCCACATTCTTAAACCAGGGATAGGAAGAAAAGAAAAAAGAAAAAAAAAAAAAAAGTGGGATATACAGTAAAAATCATTATGGTTTGTAATAGTCTGAGTACATCATATAAAAAGGCATTGTTAAAGGGAGGTAGTAATTCTATTCTTTGGGGAAGAAAATGATGATCTTAACAATGAAATCAATCTCTCTTTTCTGTAAGTTTTTGAATTATAAAACAACTTTAACTTTTCTACAAATGAGGATAGAATCTTAAAGACAAGATTCACCTTCACAAGACAACCGCACTTGGTGGATTTGCTGATGCAGCTATACAGGTTAGCATCTTCTAATCTAGACAAAGCATTCGGCTTTACTGTGCTCTGCCTGTTGATGCACTGCGTCTGCAAGAGCAGGGTGAGAATACTTAGTTTCTCTGACCTAATATAAGAAGCAACAGTCAAGCAGAGAAAAAATCTGCAGTGAAAATTTCAGGTTGATATTTGAGTGTTTTCATGTTTACAGGTTGATACTTGAATGTTTTCATGTCTACAAGTTTAAGCAAAGTGTCTTAATCAAAGTGTTGCACCTATTTTATGTCTTACAGATACAGATGCATAGAGGAGTGAAAAAAAAAAAAAAAAAAAAAAAAAAACACCAACAATCTAAGGGATTCTCCGCAATGCAGTTTTACATAAGGGCCTCTAGGAGCAGACAATGTTATTAGACCATAAAAGCACATCAGGCTGATTTATGGTTTCTGATCAAGGTTTCTGTGAAAATTACTCTGCATCACCAGCTCAAGGTGACTGCTACCATTAATGTGTGGAAAATAAATGAGATGGGGAGACTGATATCAGAGGAATAAAAGGAAGTAGGAGTAAAAGGAAGCGCCGAGCCAGTTTATATAGCACAGGCTTCCCATTTTGTTTTACAGTGCATAGAAGACTGTCATCAGAATGATTGCTTTGGGGCAGAAAAGGCAATTCTGGATAATTAGATCTTATGGCAGGCTTTCTTACATCCGGTATATAAAGAACCATCAGGTATAACACCTTCACACTATACGTCATCTTCTCCACTGTCCTGTAAACATTCTTAGAACCTCAAAAATTAATAAAATATGTCTTTTTTCTCTGAAGTTATTTTCCAGAAGAGATATAAAACCCCAAACATGATTTCATAGGATTCTCAGTGACTAGTACAATTTTACATGTGATCTGATAGCAATTTGTATTTTGACCAGCATGACAGTAAAAATACATCTTTTTCACTGTTCAATATCCTTTCATTGTATGTTGTTTTATGTTGTCTTTTAATGCTGGATTTTTTATTCTATTTTTATTTTCTGCTGAAGACAAAAAGCTATGCTGCCTATTTAAATACAAATGCATAATGCATTTTTTTTCAATTTGTTATATCTGTTCTAAAACACACTAGAGTTATTCTTTACATATGGTTTATTTTTATTTAAGATATACTCATCTACATAATGCTACTTTAAGTTTTCTTAATTTTCTCTTTATTGTTTCAAATTGTCTGCACTCATTTTTTTTCTGCAGCGTTTCAAGAGAAGTCAAGGAAATGAAATCCTTTCACCGTAAAAGCACTAAACAGTGAGCCATGGATAATATTTCAGTGCTTCTTATGCTTCTATATGATTTTTAAAACTATTCTTTAATATTTAATTTCTAGATTCTGAACTGTGGTATATGGATGCAAAGTATTTTATACATCTGGAGAATATTAGGGTTGTTCACACAGCTGGTTATAGCAGCTGATCTTATGGTCATTAAAACACATGCTTGCAAAGCAGCATATGGAACAAAGACATCCATATCTTTGGGGGCAGGGTTTGAATTTTAGGATATGATGGCATACCAACTGTATATTGCTTTCAAAATCAACCCTTTGACTAAAATGATTTTGTTTCAACATACCATCACAAAAAGATGTGATACTTTTGTGACACTTCTTTACCTATAGACTCTAAAACAGGTTAAAACAAGTGTATTTTTAACGCTACCAGCCAAAAGGCTATAAGCTCCAAAAAGACTGTTTTAACTATTTTTATCCTTTAGATATACCCTGGGAGAAAAAGAACTTCTGTATAAATGCAAGGGTAATTAGCTTGTACCATTAATAGGGTGGATTTCCTGGTACTTAATTGAAAGCAGGTGGATAATTAAAACCAATGTGTAGCTAATCAAGAGACAGATATCAGGTGATCATGAGGCCTTGCCTGATTCTGATCAGGATAAAAACCTAACTTTCAAGCCTGCTTGCTTTAGAGGTTAATGTGAAAAAAGTGAGAAGTACTGAGTCCTGGTGAGAGTATAATTAGAATTACATTTCCCATGCATGTTTGTGTTGTGTTTTTTTTTCTTTCAGATGAGTGTTATGAGAAATATGAACTTCACTCTTGCTTGCACTTGTAATTCTACAACGTGTTTTGTTGATATTTTTGCGTTCCTAAATGTTTGTATAAATCTGTGGAGATGTAACAGGTTAATTAAATGTGATGCTGATCTTAAAATAACTTTCCAAAGCCTGCATGCCAAATTCTTGGTAACCTCTGAAACCTGCTTACAAAAATTTGATAAGGGAGAGAGGAGAAAGGATGGCTGTTTACAGTAAGTGCTTCAGTAACTACTAGTTCTAAAGATTTCCCATGTTGCAGCTAAAACTGTCCTTTACCGTACTGTGCTTAAGTAGAGTGTTATGATATCTAAATCCTAATCGGAAGTAGGAGTTGTTATATACCAGTTACTCATCTGTTTTCAAGCCCTCATGCTAAGGAGAAGATTCATAATTCTGTCACTAATACAAATACAGAATATCAGAAATATGTAGTAGGAATCATGCTTTTCTGTCACCTCTTGTTTCTTTGAGCACTTCTCTGCTATTTCTAGAGTAATTTTCTGGTCCCTTGACGTGTATGTAGCATTGTTAACACAACTGTTTTATAAGTTATTATTATTATAATATTTCATGGAAAGTTTATAATTTATTGTATATATTATATAGTACAATTTCTATGTGTATAATAATAACTTATATATAAAAAATTCTATATTATATACATTATTATGCAGCTGTGTTATGTATTATTAGCTTCTTATTCTTAAGTATTAAAATGCCAGTTCAACTAAACTGTATTTTCTTTCTCTTATCAGAGCAAGGTTTCTAAGCAAATGTGTAAGCAATGAAAATGTAGTCTGTTTAAAGTGCTACCAATTGGTCTCACTTCTGCTAATACTGCTCAGTTTTTAATGAATACCTTCAGCTTGATAACTTTTTTGCTCTGTTTTAAATTTAGTATAAAATTGTCTGTGATTAGAAGTAAACTTATGAGTACTGTTTGTGATAGAAAATACTTGTACCTCCTCTGAGTTTTGTGTACTGTTTTCAAACACGTGAGTTAGGGTGTGAGATACTTGTTTGTTTTCTTTCTGTGATTTAATGAAAATATTTTTATTAGATATTATTTTTGCATTTTATTAGCTTTATATATGACTAGACAAAATTTTGTGATATATCATAATGAGTTCTAATAAATAATCACAGAATCACCTTTACCCTTTACAAAGCTTTTTGAAAGACATTATTTCTGAAATAGAATTATTTAGGATGGAAAAGGCTTTCAAGATCAAGTTCATTTAATACTAAAAGTCTCACATGAAACCATGTTCATAAATGCCATATCCACAGATCTCTTAACTACATGCAAGAATGGTGACTCTGCCACCTCCCTCAACAGCCTGTTCCAATGCCAAACCACGAAGAAATTCTTTGGAGACAATAGATAGAAAAATATACAGGTGAAGAGGAAGAAGCTTAGAAAACTACTGGAATATATAGCTATAGTAGTATAGAAGCAGCTATACCTATAGCTACTTCTCTTTCAAGGTTGAAAACAACAACAGAAATCAACTGCTGGATTTAAAGGCTATTTATTGCTGCTCAATATTAAACAGATTGTACCACTAAAGAGGTTTTAGTTTCTTAGATGTAAACCCTTCTAAAACTAGTGCTATCAAATTTTCATGACCCAGAGTGAAAAACTGTCAAGATTTCTGGGATAAACAATGATGCAGAGACAGAAGTACTAGATTTCTTTATTAAAAAACTTTATTTTAAGACAGAAATTAATATTTGGTTTCTCCAAGGCCTTGCACCTTAATGTTAGGAAAGAAGACAACTCAAAACTTTAAGTTGATGTTCAAGATTATAAAATTTCTGTGAGGTTTATTTCCATGTCTTTCACTAACTTTTCCTGGGATACATGTATATATAGAATATACATGTAGATGTATGTGCAATATCAACATTGCAGGCTTCAACAACCTGGTAGTTTTTATTTTTCTGTTATGCATGTAGGATGAGATTAAGCAAGGATTTAGATAAGTACTTAGGAGTACACAATAGAGAGATTGTGCCAGCTTTTTTTTTTTTTTTTTTTTTTACAGGAATGGAATTGGCTGCAAGAGCTTGATCATCAGCTTTACCCTGTTTAGTGTTGGGAGGATAACTTTTGTGAACTTTTGAAAATTTTGCAATAATTAATCTTGACTGCATGCTTGGCAATACTTTCCCAATAAAGGTTTAGTTTAACTTGGCACATCTCTCCTATGGAAAATTTTAAGCAAAAGAATTCCAAGAAATGTTCTGAGAACTCTGTATTGTGTTTCAAGTCTATGCCTAGCTTAATCAGTGAGTTGAGTAAACTACTGTATATTTTTCCATACTGACTTAACTCTTAGAGTGTGTTCTAAGAAGGGAGAGGGAAGGGCAAATAAAAGTAATTTATCATATTGCTGAAGGGGGAGTGACCTTTCAGAAAATATTGTAATTCTAACAGATGAAACAGTCTTTGGCAGCTTTTAGGGAAGAAAGTATTAACTGTACAGAAGAAATACTGCATGAAAATCATGGGTGAAGGTACTAATTTAGCTTAGAGGTCTTTTCAGCCATCCTGGGATGTCATGGTTTTGAAGTACATGGAGGTCTTCCTCTAACAGGAGCTGGGAAATGGTGGTTTAAGCCCTGCTTGATCTGCAGCTATATTAGTTTTTGCTAAAGCCTGCTAATGTTCCCTGAATAAATGTAGCTCATTTATTGTCAGCACAGTACAGGAGACTGGATGTTTATTGCAATGCACAAAAGAAAACAACTCTAAATGATTAAAGTGTTTGTCAATAACACATGGGCTGATGACTCTTCTGAGCTGAGGTACAGCTCAGGAGATAGTGTCATGAAGGGAGTCAAGGTCAAATTAATCACATTGCTTAACCCTGCAGTTCTGTGGCTTGCCACTTTAGAACAAAGTGCTCCAGCCAAATTCTGACAAACAAAACTTTCCTACCAACCAGTGTGTTCTCTCTGGGACAAAACAGTTTTTAGACTTCTTATAACATAAAACCATTCCTGAACTGAGCATGAAAGACAATTTTGGTTTAGGCATTTCATAATTCTAATGTAGCTGAGGAAAGAGGTGACACCAATAGATTTTGGGGGGGGGGGGGGGGGGGAAGAAACCTTCAGCATCCAGTATGCTTTGTTTGCTACTGCCATGCCTAACAGATGAGAAACTTCTCATCTTCTTTCCTTAACACAGCTTCTGCTCAAGAAGACAAAGATGAAAGTAGTGAAATATAAGAACTTTGACTACAATTATCTGTAGTTTTGTCAAAAGGAAATAAAAAGAATCTGAAGAATTAAGATGAGCTGCATTGAAATGAAAACTTCCAGGGCTGAGTTTCATTGCCATCTGAAGGCATAAAGATGAATCAGATATAATACTAATGTTTTGGTGTCATGTAGCACTCTTCTGGAGATTTTTTTTTTTAAAAAAAAAAAAAAAAGGAATTTTAGAATGAGACAAAAACATTTGTTTTTCCACAGGAAAAGGAAGAAAATTCTACAGACCACAATAGTATTGTAGAAATTGTAATAGGAAAGATAATACCTCCTTAGGTTATTTTCTCATCTTTAGCACAAAAGTTCAGAGGAGACATGAATGGTTTTTAAAGAAAAATGGGTTCAGAAGAGACATACAGAGGCTTTTTTGCACTCAGTGTAATCAATGTTACTAATGGCCTTCCTGGCAGGTTGTTTTGAAGCTATATTAGTCAAGAAGGTGATACTTTCCTACCTATCAGAAGTATATTAACAAGACTACAGCACGTGTCCTCATTTTCTGATGTTATGGGATCCAGTTGAATGAAAGAAGTATTCTGGAGGCCAGATTCTTGTTCATACTTTGTGTTTACCGGCATTTCACATTTAGAGTAATGAGTACCCTTGCCTCACCTGTCAGAACTTCCTAAATGCCAAAGACATTTAGCCTTGCATGTGAACTAGCTCAAGAGAGATTTTGCCTTTTAATATGTATGAAAATTGGTTTAAGAGTACATTTTATACATGTAATTTTCCTACTTTAGTGTGAGTATACCTTAGTATTCTGATAAATATTTTTTATATAAAAGAAAAGAACATGAAAATATTTTAATACATTGCCATCTAAAATATTTTAATATATTATATCTGATGATGCAGTATGGACTAATCTGATGAACACCTGAATATAAGGGATGTGTTTGGTTTTTTATACTCATATAATCTAGATTTTGATTTCCACAGTGGCAAAATTTATGGTCTTCATTTATGGAGGCTTGAATGTTTTCTTTGGCATTCACTATTGTGCAAAACAGTCTGAGTCTTAGTCTGGGTTTGCTGAAAAAAGAAGATAACTATTTAGCTAATATTTACTTTAGTCTCTATGTTTCAACCATCCAATTGTTATGTTTCTGAAAATATAGGAAGTGTCATATGAATGACAGAACACTGAGTATTGGGAGATAATTGCCTTTGCAATTAATTATTGCAACATTTTTTTTTTCATTTATATGTTGATTTTATACAAAGCTTCTAGGAAGCAAAAAAAGCAAATATGTTAATGGCACTGTTTCTTCTTCAAGGAAGCCCTTCCTATCAACATATGATCTTCCAATGGTAAGAGGAAGGTAAACAGGAATAGTGAAAGGCAAATGTTGCTTCAGGGGATTTCAGTAGCCATTTTAAACGACAGGAATAAGAAAAATACAGATTAAATGCAGTACTACTTCTGGTCTAAAAAAAGGTGACAAGTAATTAGATAAGGCACTGTAACATTAAAAATCTTTTACAGTGTAGTGTAAAATAATTTGCTGTGCTGTTCCTTCTGTGTCCAGTCTGCAACCTGTTTTTGCAAATCTTTACATCAAACTCAGCTGCACCTTGGGTGCATATGAACTTCTGTTAGGTTCTCCTCTTTTTTCAATAAAAAGGAATAAACACCTCTAGAAGGTGATGTGTGTATTGTTCTTCATGAAGTATGAAGTTGAATATGACTGTGACTTGGATATCTGCCTTCACGTCTAATGCAGTTGTCCGATGTCTTAAATGTATTACTCCATTCTTTAAATGTAGCACTGAAACTTGGCACTAAAACTTCTACTGAATAAACTATTGAAATAACAACAAGTTCTTTCCTGGATTTAAGTGATCTAAATTATCATTAAACTCCGAAGTAATACAGGGTGTTCCATTGCTGATCTACACAGTCTACCTTAGGGAACATGTACATCTGCAGCGGAGACACACCTGATCAGTTTGGCAGGCAGGAGAGAGCTTGCCTGGAGCTTCACAGCAAGTCTTTAAAAATATTTCATATGACAATATAGAACTAGGGAAATATTCCTCAGACATCTTACATATTTATTGTTATTAAGCATGAATTTCTAGGATGAACTACCAGGCCTGTTTAGCAACACTGGATTCTGACATATTTTTTTTATCAGCCTCAGTTTCCAGATATTTCTTTTGCTTTAGTCTTTTTCACTATGAACTGTTCTGTCTTTCCAGTTTTTCCTGGATTTAATTCTCATCCACTTGCTCTTCTTTGGGTTGCTATTGCCATTGTGCACTATTGACTTCTTTCTTTCTTTATAATACTACCTGCACTTCCTCTTGTCCCAAGTGTCCACTCTAGCTGTTTTGAATATCTCCAAACAGTTGTCTGTTCTGTGAGCAAAATAGCTTTTATTTTTTTCTTCTCCACATTTATGGATACCCCTGATATTCTAGTAAGCTAGTATTTCTGTTATTTAGTTTCAGGTTTATCAGTTTATCAAAAGTCTTATTTTTCAGCAAGTCAAATGGATTTTCAGTTCTTTCAATTAGCAAAAATGCATTATTCTACCCTGGTTTCCATTTCTTTAGTTCTCTTCTTATCCACTTGTTTTTCTACAGTTAACTTCGCCCTGATACTTTAGAAAGTGTTTTGTGTTTTGTTTTTGCTTGTTTTGTTTTAAATAAATGTGGGGGTGGAGTCTATGACACAAATCAGCTGTGCAAAGCTCGGAGTAGATGCAATCAAATGTGGAAAAAAAAAAGCAGTGAGGTTATGACCATTGTCTTTTGTGTGTCTTGTCTTACAGCTTTTATGGGACTGAGCAAGTACATGACAGAAGTCTCTTTCTCCCAGCACTTTATGGAGTTTGTCCCATCCAATATTCTGAGCATATATTATAAGTATATTCTAATTGTCTTTAGCCACGTGATAATGGCAAACAAACTTTCATGTTATTTACATGTATGTTGTTCTTAACTCAAAAAATCAATGGATTTTTTGTTTGCTTTCATTAGAAAGTTTATTTTTACTAGTTAGCCAGGGATTAACAGAAATCCTCGACTGTCCCTTCTGTTTTATACATGGTTTCCACAAAGTCATATTTACATTCCTTCCATACAGCAAATTTGCTGTTAAACTTGATTTCTCTTTTTAAGTTTACATTTATTTATTTGTTCAAGTTTAACTATCTAGTTTACACAGTTCACAAAAGCACTGCAGAATCTATCATCTTGGGGCATTTATATTTGAATAACTTCTGAATGAAAAAGACTGCATAGATATATAGCTGATATGTGATGTGATTCTTTCACTTTTGAAAACAGATATATCTACCATGTGTATATGTATCTTCAACTTCCTATAGATATTGAAGTGTCATTGTGTGTACAGGATAATTCTGCATTGTCCTTATGGTACAATATATAAACATGGTGCATGCATGTTTGTAAATGCATTTTTGAATGGGCAAAACAGTCTCTTTTTCAAAAGTTGATTCTCTTTATATATTAGGTAAGGTGTATTTTTCCTTATCCTTTTATTTTGAACTCTCTCATTTCAGTAAGTTCATTCTTTGTATGTTGCGTATCTCACTTCATCTAGCTAGACTTTATAATATACAAGAAGCTGCTTCAGTGTTGTGGTTATTTTAATACATAATTTTTCAGAATATGAGCTCTTTTCTCTACTGAGGTCATGAACTAGTTTAGACTAGTGATTCTAAACAGTACAGACCGTGATTCTACTTTTCCATTGCCCTTTTTGTGATTTCTCATCTCAACAATGGAAAAAAACAGCTATGTATATTTAGTATGGCAAGCACACAATCTTGCCAGATCAGGCACAGATACCAACCAGACTAAAAGTGTGTAGTACAGCCAAAGAGTACAAAATGTCAGTGCATTAATGTATCAAATATGGTTGAGGGTTTTTTGTCATTGAAATAGCAAAAGATTATTTGCTATGATTCTCGGCTGTCTCTAGGGCACTCGTCTGTTACAAAACTTATTTCAGTACAAAAATGAATTCTGAGAAGTGTTCATGCTGCACTGATATTGCACCCAGCCTGTTTGCAAACTATTGTAGCTGTAGACATTTCTATAGTGCTCAGCTATCACAGTGAAACCTCTTTATATAAAAGTTAAACAGAATCTTACAGGTCTGGATAAGAACAGCTAATTCTAACCAATTAATTAAATCCAAAATCTCATTCTAATCAACTGTTAGAGAACTCATGCTGTGTTGTCTATAGCTTTGTGACTTAGTGTGTACTTTGAAAATATATTCTAAATACTTGCATGTTACTGAGGTAATATATTTGGTTTGTAGTCACCTGAATCATCCTGCCCTGCAATATAGATATTACATCTGTTACTGTTCAACTTACCATTATTGTTACCACTAGATCTTTTTATGTTATTAAAATACTTAAAGTACTTGCTCTTAATGCTGCAAATTTACATTCCAGTTTTGTCAATACTTTACGATAGTGGCTATTCATACCTTTGGCATCTTGCTTCAATCCTAGATGTGATCACTTTTATTTCTAGTTTCGTACCTTTCCCATACACATCATGTAATTGTCCTCACAGGAAAAAAAAGCTTTGTGAGATCTGACTCAGCTTTGGGAGATATAAATTGTCTTCTTATTTCTTGTTAATCATGGTCTCCACTGCTTGCTAAAACAATTCTTATTTATTCAGTTCTTTCCCTAAGGAAAAATAGGCTTTTTATATGAATAATTCAGAAAGTGTAAGATAATAGCTTACCTGTTGAATTCTAAGTGGAATAATGTTTTTTACAAGGAGGTGATTCATTTATGCATATAAAGTGTAAATCTCAAAAGTGTTTAGGTGTATTTAAATAAATACTATTTGTTAAATTCCCTTTTTTAGTTTAAGTGTAGTTTACTATGCTTTAAAAAGCACACAGTCAGCCAATCAGCTCATGGTCTTAGATCAATGAAGTTGCTATATGGACAAGTATTTGATGTGATGAATTATTAAACACTAGCATTCAAATCCAGTCTCCATAGAGCTAAGCTTAGTTACAGCAACTAAAAGTTGAAATTCATGGGGAATTCTTTCTAAAGATTACAAAGACATTTTTAATCTGTCTCATAAAAGTCATTGGTGGGTTTTAGGACATGTAATGGTCTCATGGAGTGTGTGACTTAAATGTTGACTTTAGTCTGAAAATATCTAACAACTGGATTCAATATTCTGTAAACTCTGAATTTTACTGAAACAAGATCATCCAAATGTAAACTTACCCATCTTCTAAAGACCAGGAGAATTACAGATATCAAAAGAAGGAATTTCATAAATAAATTTCAAGATCATCTGATTTATATTTATGTTGCAAAAGTGATGTTCAAAACTTGAAATTAACTGTTTCTTCTTTCTGGATAATGGAAGAGTGTTTATATGTATTATTTACTTAATATTTTGCTTTTCATAAGACTTAAGCTCCCTTTGTCTTCAGTGACCCAACCTGAATTTGAGGTCACATTGCTGTAAGACAAATATCCATCCAGTCCATTTGAAAGGACCTGTTTAAATAAAATTTCATACTTCTGTTATAGTCTGTATGCTTAAAAACTCATGTTTCAATTGAAAATCTGTTTAAAATAAGGCAAGCAAAAACATGTCTGAAGAAGTATTACATTTGGTGGGTATTTATTGCAGATTTCATCAGAGGTGAACATTGTTCTGATCTTTCATGATCACTCGGGAGCTCATCAAAAAATGAGTATATGTAGCACAACTCAGATGATCAGTGTTATAGACCTGAAGCTAATATTATATGTGAAGTGTAACTTATTGGATTGCACAGAGTGCTTCCTCTCAACGTTCAGTTCTTTTTTTCTAAGGCTACCTCTTTCCCACAGTTTACAGATTTTACTAATATAAGTACCTCTTTAGCTAAGGAGTCTTTTGTACTCACTTGAGAGCAGGGATTTACAAGTATTCTAAACAAAACAGTATCCCTAAAACAGAGCTATTGGAGTAGATTCTGCCTGCTTCCTAAGATGTAAAAAAAAAAAAAAAAAAAGAAAGAGAATTTAAATCCAACTCTGACTCCACTCACCTTAAAATGGGGACAGCAGTTAAGAATCCTTATATCCCATAATGTGTAATCCCTTAATGTCTTGTGATAACCTTTAATCTTCGTATGGAATTAGTATAACTTAAAAGAATAAAGGATTCATTGAGCTGAAAAAATACCACTCTATAACGAGGTATTCAGATACATTCCTGTATTCGAAGGGAAATTTTTCAAAGTATTTATATGAAGTATTTATATGCTTTCTATTGTATAGTCACTAGATAAAAATTGAAGTAGTTTTAAGAACTGTATGCTGCCCCTTATGTTTTGTCATACCCATAAATAAGTATGATGGTCCTGAAATGTCACAGAATCACAGAATTGTCTAGGTTGGAAGAGACCTCAAGATCATTGAGTCCAACCTCTGACCTAACACTAACAGTCCCCACTAAACCATATTCCTAAGCTCTACATCTAAACGTCTTTTAAAGACTTCCAGGGATGGTGACTCCACCACTTCCCTGGGCAGCCTGTTCCAATGTCTAACAACCCTTTTGGTAAAGAAGTTCTTCCTAAGATCCAACCTAAAACTCCCCTGGTGCAACTTAAGCCCATTCCCCCTCGTCCTGTCACCAGGCACGTGGGAGAACAGACCAAAATTCTATTCTTGGTTTAATTTTCTTTAGATAAGAATTTTAACACTCCATAATGTATGAACTTGAAAATGCATGACCATAGAAAAGATACTTAATATAAGAACTCCACATGTAAATGACAGTTATGATTAGTTGATGATCTTTGGCAGGTTAAGGAGACTGTGCTATGAAGCTCACAGAATGCCCAACTACATATGGGATTAAAAGGTAGGTGAATGAGTTAAAAGGTGATAAATTGCTTAGGCTTATCTAAAGGGAAATATTTAATCATAGAAAAATGAGTTAGCTACCATGAAACCTGTTTAAAGTTAGAAACAATCAAGAAAAATTGAGATTCATTTAAAACTATGGTAAACATGTATCTGAAACGAAGGGTATTTTATGTATTTAGACCACAAGTTTAAAGAAACTTGACAACAAACCTCCAAATACTTGCAGGTATTCTTGAACGTCTAAGTGATACCAGGGATATATTATCAACCAGATTAACAGCTTTATTTGTATGTGTTTTACCATAAAATATTTCATCCCCATTCAAATGGTGACCTGTTCACTCCCACAGTTTCCATCAAATAAAAATCCTATTTTCATCCAGTATTTCCTCAGACAGATAGGTTCTGACAGGAGCAGATCTAATTCTAATTCCTAGCCACACAATAAACAATATTTATTTTCTTGTATGTGGTTTAGTAGATTGTTTTCAGGTGCAGAAGGACAATTAAATATATTTTAACCATCATAAATGTTGGTTAAAAGCGAATATAAACACCTCTAAAAATGTAAAGAAGGTTGATGTTCCAGTCAACCTTAATCAATGGAAAAGCAGCAATAGTGTCTTAAAATAAGAAAGTTTGACTACCAATATACCTGTCATTGTTAAGAACTGCAAAACATTACTGTTCTAGAAAAGATGGATCTTTTTCAAATATGTGATCTATTTCTGTCTTTGGTCAGTCTATCCAGATTAGCAGTGCTGTGAATCCAGATGTACTACAATGTCACCTGATAGGACGCTAACTAAACTTCATCACCATGTGTGTATATATATATTATAATGTTATAGTAGTCAGCTGAGATCCAGAACAATATAAGTTCTTTCCAATCATCTGGGGACTTAGCTGACAACTGTTGCAGATTCAAGTGATTTTCAAATTCTTCAGATAATCATAGAGAAACCTGGTTTAGAAGGGACCCTTGGCAGTCATTTGGTCTAACCTCAGGCTCAAAGCTTGGAAGTTTGGTCAGGTTTCTAGGGCTTTCTTCAACAGTTTGGAGAATCTTTGAATATGAAGATACCAAAACGCAGCTGGAAAACATTTGCCAGTTCTTATCCACATTTTTTATGAATAATTTTCTGTATATCCAGTCAGAATTTTTCTTACTGTAAGTTGTACCATAAAATCTTACACTGCTATTACCTCTCCTTTCCCTTTTAATATCTGAGAAGAAGAGAAAAATCTGGTACCATCTTCTCAGTAACCACCTTCTTTAGAGAGTGGAAGGCTGCAATGAATCACCTTTAACCAGGCTAACCAGAGCAAATTGGGAAGCTTGTTTGCTAAAACAAAACAAAACACTGTACCTTTATCTGCGTAGTACTTGAATTTCCCACATAGTTTCTAAAAAGTATCTTTTAATGCATGTAGCAGTAAATCACTTCTTTGTATCTTTTGATGATCTTTCCACAGGCGCACTGATGCTAATAGAGTTCAGAGACAGACATGCAGGCACTGTTCTTTTGGTTAGCTTGGTAAATCAGATTTGTATCCAGTGAACACTCAAATAATGGAATACCTGAAGTTCACAAAAAAAAAAATCAATTATTCCTGTGTTGTTTTTGTGATATAAGTTTTGAGTTAATATTTTCTTAATGGTTACAAATGCATGTGTATTAGGCTCCCTCATCTTTTGCTCAAATCCAGAGGGACAATCAATCCAAGAGGGACCAACAAGAACTTGCATAGTAATGCACTGGAAACATAGTTTTACAATCTTGTCCACTGAGGCAGTCAAAAAAAAATCTAAAGAAACAAATGATTTTAAAGTTATTTTTGCAAATCTATCAAAATATTCCTTAGATTATTTGAATATTTTAAATGCACACAGAATTATTTTTTCTCACACTTCTATTGTGAGAACTATATGTAAGCATAAAATTTTGTTTCTTTTTAAGGAGTAATTATGTTTGCATACTGGAAGACTTTAATTTGAAGAACTTTGACCTAGGATGTTGCCTATAGAATCAGTATGGTATGGTATCAACTCCTCAAAAGTGATCTCAAGAGTCTGAAAGAAAGGAGGGAAGAGTGCTGAATTGTTTCAGTGACTTAAAAATATAATAGTATAAATGAACAATAACTATCAATCTCAAAATATAGCTTGCATTGTTTTATATTATTTAATAATACCTAGTATAATGAAAATTATTTCTTCAGAGGATAAAGTTATAGAATAACTTTTCTCATCTAGCTTCTCAATTAGTTTACATGAAGTCTTGAAATAGGGCAAAATAAAACCTTTCTCTTGACATTGAGTTATTACTAGCTGGAATTTTGAATAGTCAGTTTTTCAGTTCAGGTTTAGTAGATATCTTGTACATTATACACATGCGATTAAAGAATCAAGAACAAAAATATTTTTTTTTTTGCTTTTTTATTTTTAAAGACTCTGACTTGAACATTCACCTATTTGACCATAAAAATGATCTAATGGTAAAAATGTAATTGAGTTTGATGCAACTTCTATCTACCAATATTCAAATCATGTGATACAGTTATCAAATCTTTTTCATTCCCAGGCATATCAAGGAGAGTGGGGGAAAGGGAGAGAAATCACCAACAGGTTGAAGCATTCTTTGTACAAGAACACCTTCGGTATGTGACGGTGTTAGATCGTCATTATGAGGTTTTTGTTTCAATAATTATTCTTCAGCCTTTGAAATGTCAGTATAGGTCAAAGAGGCAGCTATTTTTTCAAAGCAGATCAGAATTTAATAAGGAAGGACAGAACAGATACATCAAGTAGATGCTAAACTGAAAAAAAAAAAAATGTCAAATTATGCATTGTTATGATACAAGAATCAGCTGTGTGATAAACTTGTGCAAATTCCTGTTTTCAAGTTCAACTCCTGTGCAGCTTTTTCACTTGCTTTTCTTTATCATATGTACCTTACTGGCCTGTACCATCTAGACCATCTTTATCTAAATCTCATCATCTCAAAACAAGAGTTTTCCATCATGCATCTATTTTTACTACTTAAGTTTTACTTTGGAGGGATATGAAAAAGATGCATGCTTTGTAAGCATATTATAGATACTTGGCTTCATGTCCCAAGGTCTTCATCCTTTTGGTAGCAGAGACATAAACCTGTCAACAGTAATCTTTTTTTTTTTTCCCCACACACATATATTTGTTTGCCTTTAAAGACATAAACAGTGTCTATGAGGACAGGATGCTGACTGAGTTATGGATTTTGTATATATAGTAATGTTATTAATATTTATATATAATCTTAAATAGAGAATTATTTTAATAAATGAAATTTTATTGATTTTTTTTTCTCATTTAACTTTAGAAAAGTAAGGCTTTTATTTGCTCTGTGGTTGTTTTCTGCTATACAGATTTGGATTTGGGATCCAGGTGACACTGAAATATCCCGGTTTTTCTACAGTGGCCTTGTTACTGAGCTCAGTGGGTCCAGGGTATTAGCCTGATGCTGGCTGGTATAGCAACCACATTTGCTAGGCATGAATAATTAGTCTGTACCAAACTTCAGGAAGTTCCTGGGATTAGATTCTTTAGTAAGCTTTCCATTCCAGGTTCTAATTGAACTGGGGAAGAAAAAAAAAAATCTGGAAAGAAAGAATGTAGGCATAGTTTTGACCTCTGATTTATCTTGTAAACTCCACTCAATATGAGAATATATTGTGCACCAAATTCAATAACTGTGCATATTTTGATGCAGTTAAGATGCTCACATGCAAGATACAATTATGCCAGTTATTCTCTATTTATGTCCCATTTCAGTTCATTTCATCATACCAACAAGTAAATCCCATCCAGCTGTCTTGAAAATCCATAATTGCAGTCAAGGCTGGCAGTTACCACTCTTAGAATAGGCAGATGACAGAATTGTTTTTGGCAATAGGCATCATAAACAGATGACAAAGGACAATCTCATAGCATTTGTACAAAGTAGTTTGCTACAGGGATAGCTATTGGAACACATTCTGTTGCACTTTGTTAATCTCCTAGCATCCTTTAACAGCAAATCCAAATAAGAAAAGCCTGTATATCTCTACCCTGAAGCCACTGACTATTTGGGTCAATGCTTGTTTTACTTGCAGAGCTGTATCTTCAGATCAAAAATTGTGTGTAGACATGTATTTTGTGGTAGGGAGGGGAGCACTGAGACTTTAGTGGAGCCGTTTGTGAGAAGTTTCCACTGGGGCTACTGAGTAGGTGTTTCATAAAGAGCTCTTTCCAAGGCCACACACCTATTCTGCGTTGTCCCTGAGCCCAGATGCCTAGGGGAGTGATGTACCTTGCACCTTAACAACTTCCTTCTGCATTTTTTTATCCTGAGTAAAATAAATTCTTCCATTTCAGGAAGATTCTTTCCCAATCCCACTTCTTGTACGAGGAAGCAACTGTAGCAAAAAGCCTGGATTTGTGAGCTTCCATAGGTAAGGTATGCTCATCCTAGGACTGTAATTTACTTAAGGTGCAAGATAGGAAAGTGTACAGAAATCTGCTAATAATAGCTCAAGTAGTCTTCTAGCCTGTTGTTCATGTTGCAGAGTTTCTCAGAGATTGCATTTTTTCCAGTTCTATGAAAAATCTTAAAGGCAGAGCTATCCAAATGTTTTCTGTAGCTATGATACACCTATGTAGCAAGTTGATACAAAGGACACAAATGTGCTTCTGCTATGGACAAAAAAAGGCAGTGTCTGTCAGAAAATGCCTCTGCTTGAGTCCTAAATATCTATTTTCTCGTTTTTGAGGCTTACTAATTAGTATAGAGAAGTGAGATAGGGTCTGTGTTGTGGCTGCTGTCTGAAGAGAGGTGAGACACTTACTTTGGCCTCTGCCCAACAGACACACTACCTATTGAAGCTTACTGACCCTGGCATTTGCTGCCCTTTAGTCCCTGAAAACTTCTGTCAATGCACATATTGTTTTATGTCAGAGAATCCCAGAATGGTTGATGTTGGAAGGGACCTCTGGAGATCATCTAATCCAACCTCCTGCCAAACAGGGTCATCTAGAGCACGTTGCTCAGGAAACATATGTCTGTGAAAACAACTGAGATGTTTGTCAGTTTACACTTTAACAATCCTGATACTCTGGAAAGAACTAAGCATATTATTTTAGTTGATCCTCGGCTTCAGATGGAGAGAGAATTCAGCAGAAATATAACGTCTTGTCATGAGTCACACTTCTTATAGTCCAAGAGATATGTCAGCTTATACCCCAGCTTGATTGGGCTAGCCTGTGCTTACTCTGCACTACTGTTTCCTAGGAAATCCTTGATATCAAGAAAAAAGGTGAAAAGAGAGAGTGTTTGTTCATTCAGGGAGTTGTTAAAAGGGAATGTTAACAGGTATACTGAACAAGGTAGGTTTCGTAACATGGCAGAGGAAAAAAAAAAGATATTTGGCATGATTAATTGCTGTAGTGAGGTGGGGGTTGGCCTGTTCTCCCACGTGCCTGGTGACAGGACGAGGGGGAATGGGCTTAAGTTGCACCAGGGGAGTTTTAGGTTGGATGTTAGGAAGAACTTCTTTACTGAAAGGGTTGTTAGGCACTGGAACAGGCTGCCCAGGGAGGTGGTGGAGTCACCATCCCTGGAAGTCTTCAAAAGACGTTTAGATGTAGAGCTTAGGGATATGGTTTAGTGGGGACTGTTAGTGTTAGGTTAGAGGTTGGACTCAATGATCTTGAGGTCTCTTCCAACCTAGACAATTCTGTGATTCTGTGATTAAAGGTATTATTCAGTTTTTAAGTCCCTCCAGTGATGTCAGAGGAAAAGATAGGCTGTCATTAGAGTTGAGTTGACTAAGAAAATGTCCTCTGAGGATGAAGAGGTTTAGTTAGGCATAGCCTTGCTACAAGTAAAGTGCAGCTAATTGATTTTCAGTCACCTACTTTTTCTTTGGTTTGCTAAGTCAGGGGACATGAGTCTTAATGTTAGAGCTTTACAAAAATATTGACCACACTAAAATCCCAGATGTTTACCTCACGCTTCTGATGAACATGGATGCAGTTTTTCCAGATAGCATCTTACATATCTTAAAATACTAAATATTGGAAGCTCTAAGGTGTTGTCATCTACCAACTAGGTATGAACATCATCGATTAATTTCAAAAGGCACTTGTTTTAAAAATGTAAAACTAAGGAGGGGACCATAGCCACCTTGATCTGTGTTTGAACTGACTATCAACAGCTAAAGATAGCTCTTGAAGACCTTGAGAGAGAAATGTCATTTGGAGGTAAACAGGGAGAGTTCCTTTCCTTTTCTCCTTGAAGCAAAAGGAGGAGACAGAATATATCTTAACATATTTTCCTGTGAATTGTGTAAAACAAATGAAATTTATTTTGGCATATTGATAACATATTTTTGGCATTATATTGAATGCTTTTATTTTGGCATGATATTGATTCCCAGATATTTCTTTTTTTATTTTCCTGGTCTCCATCTTTAAAGATTTTTTTTATTATTATTTATTCCTTTAAAATCAGATAAGTTTCTCCCACCACTTTATCCATTTACCTTCAGGGTTATGTTGTCTGAGAAACTCTAAACTCAATGTGAAATTCCCTATAGAAGATATGAATAGAATATTAGTCAGGTTTGTCATTCTAAGTTTAATCTATATTTCTTTTTCCTTTTAATTAAGATACTATTATCTATGTCAGGAATGTATTTATTCCAAAAGGGTACTATTCCTATTTCTCATTTACGATAATGTTCTAATTTTATCAAAACTGAATGGGAGAAATAGCATAACTGTACAGAATAACTTAGTCTCTGAATTGAAGCAAAGAGGATATTTAATATAGGCAAATTTGGGGTAAGGTAAGATTTGAAATTTGGTTTTTGAAAGTGTGAAAAACAAGAAATGATTTTTTACATCATAATTATTGCCATACCAGACAAGCATGCAAATTTTTTCTACATCAACAGAGTTACAATGTTGATGCTTCCTCCTATTAAACAACCTTAAAAAAAAAAAAAAAAAAAAAAAACAACTCTCAGGAATATGCAATTGTGCAATCTTGCCATAAAAAAAAAAGCTGAGGTGCATTCTCCTGAGTCGCTTACAGAAACCTTCCAGGAGAAACTACATGTGGTCTAGAAATAGTAATGTACTTTCTACATTACAATACAGCAACTATGAGAACTTTTTTTTAATGGTAATTGTATCTGTATTACTTGTTTGCAATGTGACAGAAGGCTTTTGCATTTTGCCACTCTAGATAGAACACTACAAAACCACCACTACCTCTTATCTCAATACTATTAATATAATCTACCTTTGAAAAATGCTCATAAATGTATCATCCATCTCACAATATATTTTCTAAATATATTGCAAGGCAAACATATCATCAGATATACAAGGGTAAAAAATAATAACACAAAAAAATCCTTCTATTCTACTATCTAGTAGTATTCATTATAGAAAGGACTCTTGCTATAAAAATTATAATTTGCTTAGCTGTTCTGATATGACCCAAATAACCCCATTCATTTCACAGAAACAGTTTTAGAGGCTATGTTGCATTATTCATTAATGTTGTGGATAACAACTTCAACCTCAGGACTGTTGAGCCAGCACTTTCAAGAGCAGTAAATTCCCTGAGGGAGGGAAGGAGAAAAATTGTCCCTACCCTGAGGTTTGAAAAATAGTCTTCACTACAGGAAGAGTTTGCTGAGGGGTTGTGTCTAATGAGAAGAAATTATCTGAGAGGATAATCACCCCCTGCAACAGTTTTGGAAACCTGAAGCTCCCTAGAAGACTGCTATAGAGATTTTTTTCGTATTCTTCCATCCCCTGACGGGCACCTGCTGAATCTTTGTGAGATCCTGAAAAGGGGAATTGGTGCTGTGGAAACATTATTTCTTTCTTTCTTTTTCTACCTGATATGCCTATGGGAAAAAGAGAAACAGTGTCTTCCTTATGGACAATATCGTGTATGCAAACCAGAACACAAAATTTGAAATGAGTATTTAGAGAGGCAGTGAGAAACAAGACAGGATTAAAACTCCCTAAACTCTTCTATTCAGCTGATATCTTCAGCTTATATTGATTATAAAATTTTGTGGTTTGTTTTGGGAGGGACAGCAAGAGAGGTTAACTAATATTTATCTGTCCCAGTTATTAGTCCTTAGGAGTATATAGTATGTTCCAGTCTTCTCAGTCTTGCAAAAATTTTCTTTTGAATGACAGTAACAGTTTTGTTTCTTGTTAATAATGTTTTTACTGCACTTACGGTGATTTGGCCGTGATATCCTCAGAGATACCTTGTTTGATGTTCTTGTTCAAAATTTGTAACACAGGGCATCTGATAACTTTTGTGAAAGTTTTACTTTAATATATTAAAAGAGAGAAAAAATAAATTCTCAGTTTTCAGGGCTAAGAATTCATATTTCTCTACACATTTCCCACACTTTTCTGCAAATAATAATAATTGTTGGATTCAGGTATCTTTTTCAGCAACATCAGTGCATTGTCTTTTGCAATCAAAGGAAAAGTCAGGATAGGAAATAGAATCAGGAATTACATGTTTGTTTTTTGAACAGCAGTGAAACTCACAAACAGATTGACATTAACACATGCCTGCCTTTTCTTTTTAATAAACATGAATTATTCAAGGAGTATCACTGTATGTATTAGAAATAATTAAAATATAAGCAATGTTAGAACAATGTTTGACTTGCTTCAGTAGTTCAAATATTTGCAGGTTGCAAACATAAGACCTTTATGATTCTGATTTCACTAATGTTTTGTACCATTCCTAAGACTGGAATGAACCTCAATATGGCATCAGGTTCAACATCCTGCTGAAAGTAAGGCCAATAATAAACTTATTAACTGGTGTAATACTGAAGACCGTACATTACAAAACACTAAATTACAGGTCACTAGGAAAAAAGAATAGCTCAAATGGGCCCTTCTGCTGCATTGTGACGGTTAGGTCCCAAAAGCAGCAGCATAAGATGTGCTGTGAAGGCAAATACAAATTCACAACCTGAACAAATTCAGGTTGTGTTGCTGCCAGACAATAAGTTGATATTATTTCCATTCTTCAGCCTAAGAATAGGGAATAAAATCAGATACATGATATAACTGTCATCTTGAAAAACTGATATGACAATTTAATTAACTGGAATATGACAATATCTCAAATGTTTATTGATCAGTGTGCCAACATATAGCTCAGGTGAATTTCTCTGTAAAACACAGGGCATAACAACTCTGGTACATCACAGAATTTACAAGGTTGATTAAAGCTTAATGAAATTGTCTGGGAGGAAGAAGAAAGACTGTAAAAGACAAAATAATAGTTGCAGCTCTGTAATGATTTCAAAATAAAACAAACTAGGATAAAAATACAGTTTAACTTAGTAATGAAGTTAAAGTACTTTTGTGAAGAACACAAGATCCAGGAACTGGAAAACAGGATTGCCTTTAGGTGGTTAGATATGAAAAGTATTTAGTGTTTGTTTGTTTTTATTAAATGCAGAGCACTTGTTTTTTTTTTGTTTATAAATATTACAGGAGATTCAGTGATGATGTTGGCTCTTCCATCTTTCCAACAGGCAAAATAAGGAAAGTGAAAAACACTTTCCAATTTCCAGTGTTTGGAAGTTTAGCTCTCGTGTCAAGTTTGGCTTTAGGAATGTACAGAGTTAAAAACTTAAGAAGGAGAGGTTTAAAGGTATTTGAATTAAACTCCTGAAGCATTCAACACAAATAGGAAATGGAAAATGGCCTGTAAAAATACTTCCCAAATACCTGAAATATAAACAACAAATCTTAGTAAATCAAGTTCCTGTGAAATTATGAAATGTAAACAGGTAGTCAAAAATTTAAATGAGCTGCTTCCTTTTTCTTTGGATCTAATTAATATGTTGATTGCAGCTTTAAATAAATAGATAGATAAAGAACGATGGTCAACCAGTAAGGTGCAGACATTTCTTTCCTCAATTTATATTAGAGAACTAAAATCAACAAAATGAAGCATTTTGCTTTGTTTTGTTTTTCTTCTGTTGAGAAGTGCTTCGTCTTACAGAAAAAAATCATTTCAAAGTGTTATTTCAACACTTCTTAAGACCTGATACTCCTTACATTCTTCCCACACTCATATTATTGAAGAACGTTTTGAGGGTATTTAACCATCTTTGTTATTCTACCAAGTTATTTCAGTTTCTGTGATTTTTTTCTCTTTTAATTTCTCCTCAGTGTTCTACAGAAGCAAACTCCCTGTATGTATTGATCATAAATAATATAATCTGCCCAACATGACCTTTATGTCATGGTTATCTCTTACGAATATCTTTTCTGTTCTTCAGGTAATGCTGTCCTAGAACTGTATTCAATAGTATTTGTCTTAACTGAATTTCCTTCCACTTTGTGCTATTATGATTTGGATGAAGAGGAAGTTTAAAAAAAATAAAAATAAAAAATGGTAATAATGCATTTACTAGTGCATACAGGATATTTAAAACACATGTAACATACATGATTCATTCCACAGGTATGTGGGTGGTGGGATTCTGACAGTAATTATAACAGCCTAGGAAATAATTACTGAATCTCAAGCCAGCCAGGAGTGGATTATTAAAAATAATACAAAATATGAACATTACAAAATCTAGAAGTGACACATGGGAGTGAAGCTATCTTTTCTCTTTCCAGGAGTAATAAATATTTTCAATATCAAATGAAGTATGCATTATGGAGCTAAATTAATACACAGCAGCAAACCAACCAATCTAATATGTTTAGTTACAGAAATAGGGCTATCTACAATATAAGATGGTAAAAAGGTTTGATAACAGACTAGGATGAATGTTTTACATAATGACGATTGACACCTGGTGATTCTATAAACAGCTAAGTATTAGAAGTAACATAATTCTGTAGAATTCTGACCTTCTTGTATGTTCTGTTCTTTATAAGAATCTGCTCCACAGTGAAAAATGAAGTGGAATTTAACTAAGATAAAATTTCCTAATATGGAATCTTCAGTGTATATACATTGACTCTTGTTTTGAGTTAACCCCAGAAGACAACGAAACCCACACAGCTGCTAACTCATTCCCCCTCAGTGTGGGGAAGACAACTGGAAGCACAAAAGTTAGAAATCTTGTAGGTTGTAATAAAGACAACTTAATGGGTAAAGCAAAAACTGCAATTCCCAGCAAAGCAAAACAGGAAATTAATTCACTCCTTCCCATCATCAGACAAATGTTCAGCCATTTCCAGGAAAACAGGGCTCTGTCCTGTAGAAGGTTAGTTGATGTTAGATGTTCCTCCATCTGTAGAAGTAAGTTGGAAAGACATACCTCCAAACATCCCTTTTCCCTATGTGTTTTTTCATTGCTGAACACCTTCATATGGTATTGGATAACTTTTGGTCAGTTTGGGTCAGCTATTCTGACTGTGTCCCCTCCCAGCTCACGTTCTGTGCATTCCCAGCCTACGTTCTGGGGGCAGCATAAGAGAGAGAGACAGCCCTGATGTTGTGCAAACATTGCTCTGCCATAGGTGTTATCTAAAACATAGGTGTTATCAACACTGTTTTGGTCACACATCCAAAACATAGGACCATAAAACCTGCTATGAAAAAAATATATATATTACTCTATCCTAGCCCAAACCAATACAACTTGCTATAAAGAGAAAACAAAATTCTGCATCATTATAGCGGTAACTTTAACGAGGGATTCTAAAACATGGGGTGGAAGTAGTGGTGGCATTCATGTGTTATGTAGCTGCCATTTCAGCTAATCACAGAGTCATCTAGCTTGGAAGAGACCTTCAAGATCACCTAGTCCAACCTTAGACCTAACACCAACAAGTCCTTCATCTCTGATGAATGAACACTGCAGTTAACTGGTTAGCCAACTTGATATGAAGTTTAGGTTCCCAAATGTAAAACCACTAAAGCAAAGCCAAAAAGACAAGTATATATCCCTCTCCCGTGGCACCTACAATATAAAGGGAATCATAGCTAATGATCTGAATCCAAAGCCAAGCCTTGTTTTATGGAATGCTCACTCTTTGTTAAGCAAAGCTGTTTGGGCAAAAGAGCATGCTATTGATTTTAAAATTGATTTTATTTCTTTTTTTTTTTTTCTTTTTTTTTTTTGGTACTTATACAGGATCGCTCACATATCACAAGGTTTTGTGAGGTTTTGTGGGGTTTGTTACTTTGTTTTTGTTTGTTTTGTTTTGCTGCAATTCATTCAGTGTTTTCTATAATAGACTTCAGATATAACATTTTGGGGTTTTGTCCATCAGATCAGACATGTTCATATCTATGGTTTTTGCTTAAAGCTGTCTATCTACAGCTATAATTTACTAGTTTATTTACTATTATTAAGAAAAGAAAAACATTAAAAAATAAATGAAGAAGAAAAATTGTGAACTACAGTAGCACAAAATATTTGACAAAATTTCTAGTTCATTTGAAAATTATATTTCAAGCTTCTCATTGTAATTATTATAATCATCATTAATCATCAACTTCCAGATCAAATTGAAACAGAACAGTGAAAAGGTCAAAGCTATGGAGAATGCTACTGTGTTTTAGAGACAATATATGGTATTAACATTTTACTGCCTCACTTATATGACAAAGATTGTAATGAAAACAGAAAATGGCAAAAGATTAATCTGCTTTTGTGGTGAAGATCATTATGGAAAACATACCAGACAAATTAACCCATTCTTGTAGCAGTCATAATTGTAACAATATTGTGTGTCATGGTTGCAGAACCTCAGCTTTATTTTGAACACTGTATGCGATAAGAAGTCCAGGTGGCTTTAAAGAATACTTTGAAGAACTATTTTAAGAAGAGTTCACAGTTTAAAGCATTCAAATTAAATTAGTCCAAACCATGCAATATTCATGCTGTCTTTGTTTTTGTGGAATTGTTGCTGAAGTCAGAAAGAAGGAGATGCTGTAAGTTCCATATTAAAGTATAGGTATTTCAAAAGTCTAGTAGTTCCAGATACTTGACCCTGTAACAACACTCATGTGTGTGTGTGTGCGTGCGTAGCAGTAATAAAGGAAAACTGAGAACAAATCAAAATCAATTACTAGTTTATTAACACATACCCTGGCAAAAGATAAAGGGGTACATAATAGACAGAGTAAAGCTTAGCACATGAAAGTTAGTTACCCAACAGAATCATAGAATATCCCAAGTTGGAAGGAACTCACAAGGATCAAGTCCAACTCCTGTTTCCACACAGAACCAATAAAAAAAAAAATCATACAATATGTCTGAGAGAGAAGTCCAAATGCTTCTTCAACTCAAGCAGGTTCAGTTCTATGACCATTTCCCCAGGGATCCCATTCCAGGGCCTGATCACCCTCTCAGTGAACAATCTTTTCCTAACAACCAA